TGGATCACCCGATCTCGCTGTGCACTGCTTGCAGCAGTGCACAGCCGATGGAAAAGTCCGAAGCGTTTGAGACGACGCAAATGGGACAATCGGGGTCTTGCAACGCCAGTATTGATGCATGAAGAAGGCTCTCTTTGACCCTGTCAAAAGCCTTCCGATGCTCGGTGTCCCAACACCATTCCATATCCTTCTTAAATAAATTCGACAATGGCCGTGCCATTTCTGCGTAGCTCCGCTACACTTGTGCAAGCTGTTGACGAGACTAATCCACTGCGCAAGTCCTTTTGGTTCTTTGGAACCGGCCAGCTCACAGTGGCCTTGACCTTAGCAGGATCCGCAAAGACCACGCTTCCCAATGAAGCTCCCTAAAAGGGAATTTATTCGGCGCCGAAGATGATCTTATCAGTATTAGCATACAGCTGATTCGTGCGCATGCGTTCTTAAATGAACGAGGCGTTTTTCTTCATCTGCCCTCCCGTGCTCCTCATGACTGTGGACGAAAATGTCGTCGAAGTATGTTTGTGCATACACCCGGTGGGGCCTGATCAACTGCGTCTCATGACGATCAACTGCTTGCTGGTGCACTTGACAGCCTTCAGGGAATTTTCAGAGCATCCCGCTTGAAGTACTCGCCGCTGTCAGCGGAATATCACTCGCTCTCATGAGCAATTAGTAATACCCATCGACCAAGTCGAGTGTGTTGTACTTTGTACCCCCAACCGTATTGATCTGGAGATCGTTCTTTCTGAAAATCGGCGTCTGTGCTGGAATGGTGGCAGCATTGAGCACATTGTAAGCGTGAACGATACACCACTTGCCGTTCGGCTTTCAGACGAAAAAACGTGGGTATCGAATGGGGAGACTTGCTCTCACGGACTATTCTTGCTTCGTGCTTCGCACGGAAAGCAGGCATCAATGACGCCACACTGCTCCTTGGGCAGGGGCCATTTGCGTGTTACGCAGTATGTTGTTTCCGGAACCAATTCAGTCTCATGACACTCACCTCGGCCGGAGGTAGGACAGGCGGCGGGTCTTTGGAAACGACGTCTTGAAATTTCCTTACCAAAGGGTAGTACGGATCCGAGGGATACTTCAGGATCGACGACTCGCTTCGTGCGTTCAGCATCCTCTTAGTTTCCTCCAGGACAGCTTCATCCAGAAGTGACGACGAGTTAATTTCCTCGTTCGAACGTATAATGACCACCTCGGCTATATTGCCTGCCCTCAAGGTACCGCCAAACGCTTCGAAGGTCATCTCGTTCATCGAAAGAAGAGCGTTCAACGCGGGAAGCCTCGAGGATGACGTCGCTGTCTTCCTCTCTTGTTACCGTTGGCAAGGATATATAGCTGTGCGCTATCGTCTACGGTAGACACACCCTGGGTCAGGATCGACGCCCTGGGTCTTGCAGACAGCATACGTCTTCGCTGTCTCCTCTCCCTGAAGGTTCTACGTCTCGTCAATACCAGTGGGAGCAAGCACTCGGCGTCGTCCAGTGTCCTCACTCCTGCTCCATCGGAGCCTCGATATTATTGACAACGTTCGACGAAGAGCTGTTATGTGTAGTATTCGTCCGGTGGTTAGCGAGCCACTCCACCCACATCAAAAGGCCTTGCCCAGGGTACCTCGGGTCTCGTCCGACCATGTCACTCTTGGCATACAGCAACGGCTTTGAAACGTGAGCTGTGCTCAGTGGTTAGCGAGCCACTCCACGCGCATCACATAGGCCTCGCTCTCGATGCCTCGAACCACGTCCAACCATTCCACCGTTGGCAGGCAGCAACTAATTTCAACCGTGAGCAGTGCTCAGTGGATACCGTGCCACTCCACGTGCATCACTGGGGCCTCAATCCTTGGACGAACCATACCATTCTTGGCGTGCAGCAACTGCATTGATACTTGAGCAGTGCTCAGTGGGTTCCGAGCCACTCCGCGTTTAGCCCGTGAGCCATACTCGGGACTCTTGTTCCATACACCTTCGGTGTTCGACAGCTCAAATACTCCAATATTCAGCACATTGATCGGCCTAATCCAGTGTTCCCGCCAATAGCGCTTCCGCTTCCTCGTAGACGTGGGTTCATGACTCACAAAGCTCCACCAGGAGGTAGTAGTGCCTAAGGCCTTCGACCTTCAATCAATCCAAGGCTCATTGTATTCCAACCATGCCATACAAATGATAAGATCGTATCTTGGATTCAAGTCTAAGACTTAACAGCGTTCGACGCTATCAAAGTCAAGAAACTTGACACCGAGGTCCACAGGGCCCTCGGCACAGTGCCACAAAATGCCCAGCATATGTTTTGGGTTTGCATAGTGACAAAACATCAACGGGAAGTCTTTCTTCGACCTTTTGACAAGTTCATTATTGGAACTCTTGACTGGTATATGATTGTCTTTCCCCACTCTATTCGGCTTTAACATACGACTAGACGACACAATGGAACTTAGGCATTTTATGCAATCTTTACTATTGTGATTTGTTGTGTACTTCGCGCATTATGGCTTCATCGAAACAAACGACTTTTCAATATTGATGTTTTGACTTCTTATAAGACTTCAAATGTGATCATACTTTTGCATACATCAAGCTGCTCTTGTGGCCGTTTCAATCACGCGCAATCTTGAAAGGCAAACTTACATGATTTCAACTGGCACATCAATTGAAAATAGTCTTCACGCGCAACATGATGTATTTGAGACATTGACTACAACCGGTTCAGCCGTTCAGCAATCTATTATGGCAACAATGGATATCTTCACGACGGCACATGCATCCAGTGCAGCTGCTAGAAAGGTCAGGCTAGGCCTGACAGGGTTAAAACCGAACAAGGACGATCAAGCATGGATCCAAGTTGGATAAGGAAACTTATGGAACGCATCCCCTCGTATTCATCGACCGCACTGCTGGCCGGCTTCCAACAGAGGTTCTCCGCATTGTACAAAAATTCAACTTTGCACCGACTTTATCCACTGCTAGCTACAGCTTCAAGTAAGCCACCCTAATATGCCGCACCAGTCAAAGTCTTCATGTTGGACAAGGTAATGTATGCAGCACATGTCTGCAGTCAAGAAATCGTGTACAATTCGACATCCTACGCGTCTAACACAAGTAGCAACCATGGGTGAGATCATTAGTAACCTATTGATCATGACGTGTGAAATTTAAGAACTATTTCGACGGTAAAGTTCAAACCTCCCGATCTAGACTTTCTCGAGCGTCCTTCACGGAAACATTTCGCTTTGTCCTCTCCACGTTTAGAACAATTTGCAATTGTTTTCAGTGAGTAAATCAAGATAATAAATCCTTCGGTTAAATTCGTTGTTGATCGCATCTCTATCTTGGTCAAAGCGTTCGAGTTGTAGAGACTAAGTACACCGGGGCGCGGTGGTCCAAATTGGCTGTGTGGACAGCAGTACTTGGTCTTGAGGGTTATAGCCCTCTATATTGTGTCGAGACGTAGATTCCAAAAAATTGAGAATTCATGAAAACTGAGAATACCGGTAGCCATACTCATTCTATACATGTTCCTTACAGATTCGGCAAAATCATAATGAGGACGTCGTCAATGGTCGACCCAGATGGAGATGCGATCATGTCTTTTGCCCCCTCATCCTCTGCCGCATCGCCGCGGTCTCTTTCCTCACGTCTTCTCACTGTTGTGGCTTCTGGAGAGCTTCATGCGTTGCCTGATGATATCACTAAGTGCGAGTCAAACGAGGCTCTCGATAAACTTCTGACTCCGTTTTTGCCACTGCTGACACGCCTTCAGAGCTCTCGTCACACATACGCCACCCCACAGTCGCATCATCTTTCCATAACACTTGATGCCACGCTGCTTCGTGTCGAAAATGCCTCAAAATATCGTCAATACGCCCAGATATTTGCAAAGTTGACGCCATCCCAGCTCCAACCGACCATCACTCCTGACGCCATGACTGCATTCCGCCGCTTTGAACGCGGTTCCACGACTGACAGAGTGATGATCGTGCTATGTGAATGGCTTTTTTCTGCTAGTGGAAGCTTGGACAACAGTGAGCTTTTCATGAATGAGCTTTTTCAAGAAGAAATTGCAGCTATTCTTGTGCAAGTTCTGGCTTTTCCTAAGCTTCAGACGCACAAAAGTCCAGCTCAAAATTTACTGAGTCTGGAAAAAATAGTTTCTAGGGTTCTATCAGTGCCTGTAGCCCCCATCCTATTGTCTAGATTGGCCGTAAACGATGTCTCACGTGTCGAAGAACTCATGGACGCTATTGTGGCAGTCATTCTAGCGACTACGACAATAAATAAAACTATGGCACAGCAAGAACAAGATGCATTGAACTCGAACATGTCTGTGATGGAGAATGCGCGTCGTGCTTGTTTGCACGTCGCCAAGCTTTCGCCTTTATACGCAACGAGACTAAAGAATAAACTAAGTAAACAGACTGCATCGCTGCAGTGTGCAGCAGTTGCATTTGAGCTTTTGACAGCATGTACAAATCGAGGAGACGTAATTGTCTTTCTGTATCAATGGCTAAAGCGAGATGGAGCTCCTGGGTCAGCGCTGAGGACATATGTCCAGTTATCAACTCGTGATGATATGACAAGCGACTCTGTAAGTGACTTTCAGTCGGCTGCAGTTAATTCTTTGGATTTTGTTCGTCGTGTACTATTGGAAACGACGAGCAGCACGAATGTGCCGATGTACGAGTTGTCTACAGCACTTAATGTTTGTGTTGCTCTTCAGGTACTGAATGCATTTCCTTTAGGGGAACAAGAGCGACTTCAACTATTGCAGAGTCTTGACAGAATTGCATCAACCTCGTCATCATCTCGTACTGTTCGTCTTGGTTTCCTTGTGATTATTCTACTTTGGTATCCACTCGCACCAGCTTTAAGCAAAGCTCCTGGCCAACGAGACGAGCACATCAAAACTGCACTGACTCTATCTCAACAAGTCATCATGTCCTTCTTTCAAGCGTGCAAGACCGACGCTGGTCCGCTTTTTGTTGTTTCGGCAGTGTTATTCTATACCAAAGTGCCAGCGCTTGTTCCTTTTCTTGCGTCAGTGATTGGATTAAATGGAGACTTAGGAGATGATTCGGGACTTGAAGCGCAACAAGTATTGCGTGCAGATTATCTTCATGTTTTCGGAGATGTCATCCTCAAGCCTATTTTGACAGAGAACCTGCTTGCTCGTGAAGTACTAACCTTTCCACCAGCCTTGCGTGTCTCAACAATCGATGATATTTCGCTAGGTCATGGACAATTTGAGCTCACCTTACGTGGACTCTACAGTTTGCTGTGCGAAAAATCGTTTTTGCGACATCATCACGGACATCGGCTGGAAAATTGGTTGTCTACTCAGGTAGAAAAGCAAGCAGCTTTGCCTATCCATCCGTTAATGTTAAGCGTTTTGCTCGAGTGGATTGAAAATTACGTGATGGCGTTTGAGTACCCAATCGCTCAGGCCCCTCGCCGGCTTCAATTGTCCATCGTTCCGCTACAAAGCTCAACTTTAACGAAATGGCTCTCAGCGTCTTGCTTACGGAGCACATATGACTTTAAGAAAGGACACGAGTACAAACTGAAATGGGCACGTGGCGTATTAGGTCTTACATATGCGCTTCAATTTAATCAGCGACTTCGTCAGGCAACGATGGTTGCTGGAAGTAAGCTGAGCAGTCTGGTAGCCGGTACCTCAATCGCTTCAGGTACATCATTCTCAGCTACCCTCGGCACCGGAGCCGATATTTGCCTACACTACGACCTTAACACATTTCCCTTACGCAATATTGTGACTGAAGTCGTGGCAAACGGAGACCAAGGCCGTGCTTTTGAATATGTGGCCCCAACGTTAGTAAAACTCTTGATAGAAGAGTATCCACACCTGTTTGATGCTTCCGCATCGTCCGGTTCATCAGGGTCGACTTCAATGTTACTGCCGTTAGCCTTCAGTCCGCACGATGTTGTAGAGCGCGACCTAACACGAAGTTGGTTTCGCCGTAAGTTTAATCATGTGCCGCTTGCTAGTATGGCGCGGTCTCACATTTCATGGACAGCAGTTCAAATGCTTTTGTTTGAACTCCAATTCGCACCGATCCAAGTGGTGACGCGAGAGCTTATTGATATAGTGAATAAAATCCTTCCTTACGCGATTACATCGTATGAAACCTTGTCTACCGATTGTCAAGTGGCGGCGTTCTGTTCCCAACTTGCTTCACTTTACCTATCTCGTGCGCGTCGTGAGCAGGGAGCTGATATTTCTTTATTGATGAGATTGATACAAGCATTGTGCTTTCCAGACGTACTATGGCGGCAGTTACAGACTCAGACACAGCAAAATGATTCATTTAATTTGTTTACGTACATGCAAGTGTTAGAAGAGCCATTTCGTCTCGTCAACGATGCCCACGATAGAGTTTTTCAACAGCCAGCGTTGCTGCTTATTCTAATTGATATTATCCGAGATGTCAGAATTGCAGCAAACGTCCATGTATCGAAATTTGACCTCTGCTTGTTGCCTGGAGAAAGTTTGAAGCATTCGCTGTCCACTAATCCAAGTGTGCAACAGCATCAACTCGTACAAGATTGTCTGCTGACGCATGGACTTCTCCAGCGGCTTTTTGCACTGAGCTCCAACTCGAATAGCAACGATACGGTTCAGGAGTGTCGTGCTCACCTGTGCACACTAATTAATGAGTTGGTGGCTGCAGACGCTGAGGCCTCGTCTCCGTATCCACCACGACTTCTATTGGCCATACACACACAGGGCTACGATGTGTCACTAGTTCCAACGTTAGTCGCCAACGTGCCGTCAATGAAACTCTTGTGGGATCACTGGATGTCTGCTACGTCTTCGACTGCATCAAATATCCCAGCTTCTCGTGCTGGGACGCATGGAACGAAACATTTAATGGATTTTGTGGCAGAAGGAGCGGACAAGGATCTTCCCAAGTGGATTTTTCGACTTCGCGTGGTCTTTTCATTGTGTGCTGCGCATCTTTCTGGAAACGGACAAAGCGCAGCTATGCAACAAGCGCTGCGTGTGGTCTGGAATAAACTGCGCAATGGTGTGGGGAGCTTAGGTGAAAACAGTGCGGGGTACATAAATTTATTACGAGAGGTGTTGCCTTGGATTGTTGATGCTTGTGCTGTTAATGCGGATCTAAGTGCAGAGCTCGTACATTTCCTTCTCAAGTTGCAGCGCCAGCAAAGTGGAGCTGGTGGTTACAAAGGTAGAGATAACCATAAAGCAGGAATAAAGGCATTAGCAAAGCCTCAAGGACAACGACAACTGCTAAAGGAAGTGCTGCATAATACGTACGCTTCGTTACTGGATCAAATTTAATCGACAACAGGTTTGGTATGTGTTGATGAGTGGAAATAGAACATATGTTGCTAAGTTGTGTCAGTAACATGTATCCCACTTTTTGATGCTATTTATGAACATAACCAGCTGAAAAAGCGCCTGTGAACGAATTGTCTAGTGCCAGTCAAGTCAACGCGCCCCCTTCGCACTAAGCAAATACATATACATGAATGATACCGCTACCATAACGCGTCTCGGCAAAGTGTCCGCTACATCGGCAGCCTCGTTAGTAGACTTAAATCACAGTCCACGAGCACACGTTGAAGTGTCGTCTAACCTCAGTCCGACATTCTCGAGACAAAGCAAGGGAACAAAGATTGCTATGTGGAACAAAGCGAGCGATGGTAGCATAAATTTGGTGAAGGTGAGCGCCTGATGCATCACGTTGTTTTTGCGGCAGCTCAAGCTTCATGTCCTATACCAGAATCTTGGAAGGAAAACGCACATACCAGATCGGCTGCATCCTCTCGATGGCGAATGCTCCCGGCGTTATCGCCATCCTCACACTCAACGCCAATTATTAACGTCGTCACCCCGGTGTTATGATCAGCTTTCGCTGCCTAGTGTAGCACCTGCAACCTCTGAAGGATCGGATGAAGAAATTTTTTTTCTGGAACGCCTTAATGCTCAATTGTCATCGAGCGATACAGTAGAAGAGTGGATTCGGTCATACCAGCTTGAGCGCGAAAAGTTTGCATCGTTTGCTGTATTCACCGAATTGAAGCTGGACGAGGTACAGGAAACATATGTAAAGCAGGCGGGAAGGCCCAGTGCAGTTGAGGCAGCAGCTTGTTGTGCGACGCTACTTAAGATGCCGGGAATAGTCGGGTGCTACTCGACGTTGCTCGAAAAATTGTCTGCAGGGATACAAAGCGCTATTTATATTCCTGAGCCGTCGCTGACAAATCTTACTCTACAGGGATCAATGGCCTCTCTAGTACAAACATTTTATCGGCGGATCCCATACTTTGAACGAGTGCGTGAACTTGAGAAGGCGTTGCTTACAATCCGAAGTATCACTGATCCAAATGTGCTTAAAAATGTAACCATCGAGGATTTGGATCGAATATTCGAGTATACGCCGTTTGCTGTTGTCCTGGCAGGCCTTGTAAAGATGTTCACAACTAATTCAGATAAGCTCGGTCAGCTTATCGTTGCCCTGCAGGATCAAAAAGGTTTACTTTTTCTTAGTGAGAAGGAGAACGTAAAAATTGAAGACACGCCTTACCCTGTGCATGTTCCACTTGCCACAAGCGCTCAAATTTGTCGTGCTATCACACACAATGCAGCAACATTTAGTTCCAGCGGTCGGGATATGATTCTCTGCGCTATCGTGGACCTATTGGACGTGACTTCATTCCGCGATGTGTATCATCTTTTTGATGTTCACGGGAAAATGTGCTTCTTACACTATTTGAGTCTGGTAGAGGATATGGATCAGCTGGAGTTGGTTGTTGATGCACTGCCGAATGCTGGTGAGTCTCTCTTCCGACTTTATATCGCCATATGTTCGGGCCGACTCAAAAGTGAATTGAATGGCGAAGAGATAGTCACTTCAAGTCCCAAAGACGTTTTTTTTCTCAGACTACTAAGCCCTGACATGGACTTTTTCTTTTTAGGTGATCTCGCTGCATATCTAACAGCAGCACAGTGGAGTTTGCTATCAAAAGAGTTTGACAAGCATGAAAATGCGCGAATTGGCCAGAAGCAGCGACAAACCAAAGTTGACACAAATAATAGTGATATAGACGGCCTGAACGATGGGCGCTCATCGACAGCGTTGTCAGCGAGGGGGTCATTTGATAGCTTTAGGATGATAATGATGAACTTTCTCCGTCACAACAACTTAGCCAGTGCGCAAGTGCTGCAACTGGTGGCAGATACGTTCTTATCGATGCTGGGTAAAAGGGAATTTAGTCAACTTTTTGATAATTGCTGGGCACAATTACCGCTTGATAATCGGTGGTCGAAAGCTTTAGCGGTGGTACGGGATCTTGGAACTTCTCCCTTAGCTCAGACTGCAGATGGTGAGCACATTGCCTCTATGCGCTTAGAAATGCTGAAGACAATTTTTATGATGCTGACTCGAGAGGAGAGGGTCTTATGGATGGACCAAATGAATACCAAGTATCCAACTGAGAGCTACAAAATTAAATGCTTTAAGGCCGTCGATGCCGCCGCAGTAATCAAGGCACCAGATTTGTCCGATCCTACTGCGCTCATTGCTCAAATGGATACCGATCTGAAATTGAGCTGGCTGGAGGCTCTGATCAAAGATATGCATGGCGATTTTGAGCGCTTTGAGAAATTGACTATGGTGTTTTCGCAATTTGCAAATCTGCCACACGTGGAGCCAACGCTTGCGTCGGTAAATGATATGCTGGATCAGGCAACTCCTGTTGACGAAGCAACATTGCTGATCCCCCCATCCGACGACTCCGCCATCCCAGTTATGGTTGTGGTGGATCGTGTGGACTCACCTGTTAACGAATCAGAAGTACCAAGCCATCAAATGATAAATACGGAGATGAGTATAGCAATCAACGAGGCTATACAAAAACTTCTCGAACACCGGTCTGAATCACAACTACTTGAGATCCTTCAGCTCGCACTTTCTAGCGCAAAAGATATCAAAGTTAAGGCTGATGCTGTTGAGCACATCGTGGATCGACAGGTTAAGCTACCGCTTGTCCCTGGGTTGTCCGGTAAAGTAAAGCGCAAACTGTCGGCTGTTGCTGCTGTCGCTGAGCCCATGGAATGGCACGAGTACGTTAAAGTTGGTCATTTCGACGTTGGTTGTCAGACGATAAGCGAACCGGAGGCTCAAGATACCGCTAGCCCTTTTCGGGACATTAAATCGGATCACAACAGCAACGGCAGATTGATTTCACCGACTAAACGTAAGACTCTCACTTTAAATGCATTGTTTGGCAAGAATACGAGTAGAAACAAGAAAGAGAAATATCAGAAGATCAACAGCGTGGCAGTGCCACAAGCAATTTCGGGGATGATCACGTCATGGCGTATGAATGCCGATCAACTCGTTCAATTTGCCAAGAAATCCCTTGCTAATGTCCTCAAAATAATCGGAGATGCGTACAGTGAGATGCTGACGGCCACTAAGCGCAAGGCTCAGCAACAACGATCACTGTATGCAACTCCACGAGGAATCGGACGTCCATTAAAACTCGCGCAAATTGTTTACCAATCTTTTCTTCATAGCTATGGCCTCCCATCAATTGCAGACATGCACTTGCTTGCATTTTCGTGTGCGATCGAAATTTATCGGAAACAACATCTGCGCGTCGAGTATTTTGCAAGGTTTTGCTTCGAGGAAGTGCCCACGTCAGAGCTGACAAATTATTGCGAATTTCTTGAATGCATTGTGTCCGATGACTTAAGCAGCACCACAATGATGGCTAATAGTTTGCCATCTACTCCGTCCACTAATTCTGGCAACACACGCGGAGCGGCTCAGAACACCTTAAAACGATCTCACTTGGTTCCACGAGTAACAGTTCCGGACAAAGAACACTGGTCAATATCTCTTGATCGCGCCGTGGAAATTGCTCAACTTTGCTTTCGTGAAATGCGCAAGACGGCAGTGACTGTATTTTGTGAACATCTGATGATGATGGCAGCTCAGGGATGCTCGACTGCGGTCTTGCCACTTCCCGTCGCAGTTGGGCAAGATTCTTTATCACTTAACACCGACCAGCTTAATGTCGACCATCTTCTTCAACTGGTGGTGGCTGAATGGCAGCAAGAACAGGTTCGTCGCGAACGCCATCTACTCGATGCATTTCGTGCAGGAGATGTGAATGGCGACGGACAATTAACGTCAGCTGAGTTTTCACAGATCGTGTTATCGATTGATGCTTCACGGGACATGGGTGATATCTTGCTGATGTATAGTGATACATTGCGCCGCACCGAGTGCGAGCAGCTAGATGCCGAGGTTTTTCTGCAAGTCGCGCGCGAGCATGAGCTCGATCGTGTTGTGTGGCAGGGTGATAGAGACTTATCTGGAGTTGTGAACAATGTCACAGACATGGAGGCTACGTGGGCTCACGTGCGAGGTTTTTTCGTGGGTACACTAGAAGCTCTGGCTCGTGATTTGCCTTCCGCTCATTTTCTTCGTATGTGCGAAGGCGCTGGCTGTGGATGTCTCAAATGCCTATTGGATGGCTACGTTGGTTTCCAGAAAATGCGTCGGGATGCCGGACTGACACAACCACAGCAAAGGCATCCTGGATTTTCAGGCCGTCGAAGCACAACCGTTGGTGTGTCATCTCAGCTCATTTGGGCACGCTTTTGGCACCTCACGCGTCAACTTTATGATGCTGCAGCTGAGAGCGAAGGCATTGTGACTCCATGGGAAGGCTGTAAGTATATTCGAGTCGAGCCAGTAATGGCACTTGCTCCAAGATCCAACAGCAAACGACGAGATTCGCTGCCGAATTTCCTTTTTCCGGACACGGCGCGGATAACAGCCAAGATGAGCACATCCAACAATCCAGAAGTTTTTGACGGTCCAACAATTTATGCGCAGTTTGCTTATTTATTGGAGAATGTCTCCACTAAAAGCGCAGATGACACGTCGCGCTTCTAACAAAAATCTAGGACTTTGTCAGTTGAAAGGTTGATAATACTCGTAGCTGCTCATTGATTTAAATGCATTCTTCTAGACAGTACCGTGTCATCTTTTATATATTTTTAGTATATTCATCATTTGTGATTCTCCCATGATAGAACCTGTTGAAAGGAAGCCATGCAAGGCCATGAATCCAGATCGTCTTCGTAAGCTCATAGACTCACCAAGCATATTAAATGACACTCGCAAGGTTTCAATGGCAATTGTAAAGAGCCAAACGCTGACCAAGTCATGGAATGGAGAGCAGTCTGATATCCGTCCGTTCGAGAAATTGGCAATTCCAGCACAAGTCATTCGCACGAAAGATTTACGCTCAAGCGCGATAAGTGTAGGGAAATCGGTTGCTCCAAGTGGCTTGCAATTGAACGATGTTGCCATCATGTACGACAAGCTTTATGTATTCTTCAAACAAACTCACTTACTTTGTGATATAGACCGAAAAATGACGAGTTACAGAATGAGTTTACAACCTTTTTGATGACGCAGAAAGAAACAGTAACTTGTGCTGCAGAAATTGAGCAATGCGCTATTCCGAAATCAGTTTTGCTGAAGGAAGGTATCATGAACCCTCAACAACGGCGCGAGCGACTGCGCTTTGAAACGGACCATCTTCTTGCCAAGCGTGCCATTCACCGCACTGAAATGAACGATCGAAGACTACAACAAATCATGTAAGCTTTATGTCGTTTAATTTTGTTAGTTGGATTGATAAGGCTAAGCTCGGTGTTTCAGTAAAGGACGACATTCGACTTGCGATGTATTGGGTACGCACCATGATGCTTCACGAAGTGAAGGAGATGAATTCAAATCAAATTCGATACGGTAAGCTGCATAACAAGAGAATTGATGGCATTTTTTAAATGTACTTTCAATTCCAGCCTCAATAAATCTCAGATTTCCCGCCGCGAGTATCAAAGAAAAAACTCGATGGCAAACTCTCATTTGAACCACCACGACAGGTTCTTTAATGACACTCCTCTTGAAAGAAATCAGCAAAGGTTCAAGATATTGTTTTGTTTGATATAGCCGCCAATTTTAACAACGATACTTGCACCAGAGCTCAAAATCTGCGCAATCAAAGCGCTGGAGGACGTCCGTATGATATTATCAATGGAGGTCATGTCATGCACTTTCCACCTACGATTGCTGAGAAGCAGCATCAGTGGCAAGCGCACCCGTCCGTGAATATACATCGATATACTCAGTAACTCAGCATTTGGTCGGGTATTCAGTTTTACTTCGTCAATTTTTAAACTGCATACCTTATATTTGTTTATTCTGACTTTTCAAGTTTACTTCGTACACTAATCATAAACACCCATTCTAAACAAACTCGATCTATATCTTCGGCTCTGTCCATCCATGATGCTCCTATTCGAGTTGAAAGTCTCCTTGCGGAGCATTCATCACACCTTCCATAAATGATACAACCTGCCCACCACACGTAACAAACATCTTGTCGGATGCAAAACCACGTCGACTTCGAGGGGGGACGTATCCGTACGTAGCGGAATAGCATGAACCGTCGCTAAAACTTGGCGGAGGAGACGTAGATAACGATGACGAGCATGTTGACGATGGTGAAGACACATAAGTATATTCAACTGCCACTTGCCGAGGCGAGTTACGCGCCCAAAATTCAAGACGTTGACGTTGAGCAGTCAGGTGTTTTAGATCCTATAAAAAGGTAATTAGTCAGTTTTATCTCGCAAATCTGGTCATTAAAAATTGAACATACCTGCACGGACATGCCACTGCGGATCTCACACGCGTTATTATTGATTGAAGGTAGTGTTTGACGAGTTTGTTTCGTAGTGACCATGTTCAAGATTGTAAGATTCAAATACTACTCTTTCAGAGAGAGTGAAGCGGGAGGTTAGTAGCTAAATCTTTTGTGAGAACTGATGTGGCCATTCGGAATTCGAGAGGTTTTGCTTGGAATATAACGGAAGAATCAGACGAGACAGAGATACTGAGACTGAGTGAAAAGGTACAGAAAAGTGCTTTGTAACGAACTTGAAGGTCAGGGCGATCTTGTCAATCGTACCCCTTCAGTTCTTATTTTTGTCCAATAAGAAAACTCTATATAGAAATAAATAGTTCTAAGTAAGAGAGAACAACGTATGACTTAGTCTCCGTCCGCCGGTCTCACACCATCGCTCGTGACTTGAAACGCGCATGTCTCTGCTGGTAGATAGGGAGAGAAAGCAATTTTTAGTCGACGAGTCGATTCTTCAACACGCGTAATCATGAGACTGAGAGATAAAAGCCAATATACTAGGACATCAATACAACGCTTCGTGATTTCTGAGATGACAGAAATGTACCGTTGGTTGATACAGTGCGACCACGACAGTCCTAACGCCGGTCGCATCTCGTTCCTGTCCGAGAAAGGGTCAAAGTCGCCTGTTACCTGATTACTTACCACAAAGACAACGCCATACTGATCACTCAGTATGCGCATGCAGTTAACCATGTGAAACATCGTTCGAGAGCGCTCTGCCGCTTCCTGAGCCACATGAAATTTACAAAACTTAGCAACGGATTTATACAGCGACAACTCAATCACAGTCTCAACCTTTATAGAAGACGTGGATTCCAGACGAAACACGGCTGCGACCGAGTCCAACACTACAAGCTTAGTGTCTCGCTCTGCCAGTAACATGGGTAGTCTCGCTTGCTATGACAGATCACAATAATGATGTCAGTGATGGTCTCTTCGCCCATATAATGATATCGTAACGGGGACCATGAGATAGATGAGGTCATCGACAGTGTAAAGCTGCTCAACAAAAATTCCATCCAAAAAGTCGCTTCGGGTGAATTCTGGGATCATTTCGCCTCGCTTGCGCTTGACACCAACATTTGTGACTGCATTATACCTCTCTACATACACTTGGGCAAGTTCGTGCAGTCGTTTAACGGCCCCTACGCCTTCTGTGCAAATATAACAAGCTGTGCTTTGCAATCCACCAAGTGATCTAGGTAAACAGCATTGTAGTAGCAATTGCAGACACATTTGCGTCTTGCCAGCAGAAGCTTCACCGCAAATTTCAGTCACAATTCCAGAGCGAAAGCCGCCATGTAGTAATCGGTCGATGGAGTCACAGCCTGATGGCAATACTATAGAGTTTGTCGCGTGGCTTTGTAACAGCGCCATAGCTGTCGTGGTTTTCATAATTGGTAAGCACTAACGTATGTAAAAAAAACTGAAGTCAAAAGTATAACTTATGATGGTGCGGGTATGTTTTTATATAGGACAAAAATGTGTGGCTATCGATAGCAGCTTCATTTTCAAAATTGCGCTGAAGAAGTAGAAGGAACTGATGTCTATCCTGAGGGACTGATGTTTCATGATTGATACTATCCCTAAGTCCAGTTCTCTGGCCTGATCCTTCCTCCATCAGAATTTTAAGCAACGGACGCTACTTATGTCAGTTGCTCCCTTTATTACTCGCAGCTCAATCTGCCACAGTAGTTGCGTCACCCCATGACCAACCATACTGCTATTGACTGCGCATAACAAGCGGTTGTTCATGATAGGAACCCTTCGCGACATACCACTGTGTTGCAAGGAGCCAATTGCCACCCACACTCTCTAAGACACAGCTCGATGTCGTATTCTATCCACGCGGTGTTGAATCGTTAAGATAATTCACACGTAAGCAGACTCATTTGTTTCAAAGTTGGGAGATTTCTTGGCTGTTATATCTGTCCCTTTTGTCAACGAGGTACTTCGTGATGTTCTAAATCCTTTTATTCCTATTCATCACTGGCTAGATTGAGCATGGACTGCATCTTGCAAGATAATCACGCATATCTCGTGGAGAGATAGCTTATCGACATGTACGGATAACGTCGAACGCCCATCTTCACTCTATTTATCTTGGAATCAGTCGGATTTTCGCTCCGAATCTAGATCGTCAAGTTGTGCAACTCTGACAGCAGCTTAGCTTATTGATAATGGCGCACGTAGCATAATGAAACCGGAAAAGAAGACCTCTCCAAGAATTAAGCCATCTTGAGTGTAATCTAAAGAAAGCCGCCTTAACATTTCATATTCATCCGGCCACCGCACCACTTCAACTCAGATATGTTCAGACTTGAGGTCAATTCGCCTTTCCAATGCAGTTAGGATGAGCAACTGTATTCTCGCGGGACGCTAGCTACAGACCCAGCGATATTTCTCAAGTTCAGATCGTGAGGTGAGTCGCTTATGGCTGTGTTGATGATTCCATCGTTTTCCATGCAAGAAGTCGATTTGATGACTATCTTATACAACGCAACGACCTATGGGCGGTATTCGCCGTTCGGCAAAAGCCGGACATTTCCCCCCGAAATATTCAAGCAATGGGCTGATTACGTCTTGAGCAGCTCTTGTGCTCGTCCGAAGAACTCGCGCCAGTAACAGCAACTTGGCCTTTTCATCCAGCTGTCTTTGCACTTGATTTGCTTGCTCGTGGAAACGTGCTCATGTTTTATAAATTGTATTATACGTTGTAACTTGATAATCTATATACATTACGCCTCCTACGGCACAACTCTCACAATCTACAAGTGCATACATGTAATCTACATGCAGAGTGTGCTACATTGCTAGCACAAACATTTTTCCTATTTCTCATGCATTACGTCTAATTAAATAATTGGGACACGCATGACAGGCGCCGAAATTCTTCAGCTGGTATTTCCCATCAAGAAAAACGACTCAATGGCGCCGGCAATACAAGCACTGACTGTGCCACACTCTCCTTCTAGCTTTGCTGCAAAAGGCTCTACTACACTGTCTTAAGGGTGAGAATCCACAAAGACGGTACTCGACCCATTCACAATGATGATAGCTGATAATAATCTTGCCCCGACCACAAAACCTTTTTTACGCTTTGCTGACGATATGTCTACATCGACATAAATGTGCGAAAAATCGGACTAAAAAATCCAAAATACGATTTGAGCAAGCCGTTTTTTTAGTGCGTACCTGACATGTACGGAATTGCGCAGATAAGCAATTCATGAGGCGGTCGCACGAAGTGCTTTTTCCACAAGCTGCTGTTATTGGGAGCTGCAATCGATGAGAGTGATCAGAGAACGTCGTGTACACGAGATGCGACAATATCTCATTACCATTAAGCTTTTGGAATGTAACATTAAATGCAAGGCATTAGCGTACTTTACTTATAGTTTGAGAAAAAAAACTCAACAGCTGCAATTGTCATTTGAACCTCATCGAACTCGAAGTTCCAAGCATGGTAAATGTCACGCGGCGACCGTCGAATTCGAAGCTAATTTCGATATCTCTTATCTTCATGATAACGCATGAAACTTCTTCACTCTACATTTGTTTTTAAATTGTCAGGAGACATTTTCGACGAACAAGCTTGAAAAGTTTTACTAAGTCTCTTTTAAACAAGTTCGTACCTTTTCAAGTACAAGTTTCTAAGCTTTTTAAATTTAACCGATCAAAGATGAGAGCCCTCTTTTACTTGTATCTTTTCTCGTAGCCACGTGAAAGGGAGTGACCCACCTTAAGATCTGCTTCATCCATCTTCTTGTTAAAGTATAGCACTTGTAAGACTCTATGTCCTATTTACAGCCCATTTGCAGTGAAGCTGCAAGTCTTACCTGCTGTTTGCCCCTCACACGAATTGGTTTCGTTCTATCATCGTTGTAGCCCTGTCTGGCATCCAAAGTGGGCTGTCTGTGCATAGCGTCTGGTTGGGCCCATACTTAACCCTATTTAAAAGCGAAACGTGTCGCCGGCCCTCGCTCAAGTTATGTCAGTTCGGCTTTTGCCATACCCGAGACTAATTACCTGCGCAAGTGTGCTTTAACTCGTAGCTAGCCCACGAGTACAACACATAACGCTCTTCTCTCCATTCAACTTCTTTATTGTGCCCATAATGCCTGCGCCATCACTCTCTATCCAGGTACATCCAAGCATCTTGACTGTTCACATTCGTATGAAAGACCGTCCAGGCACAACTGCCATTGACATCACACCGTCACTCTTATCGTCAAAGAATCTTATCGTGCGATTTCATGAGTTAGCATTTGGTAAGAGTTTTGCTGCATTTGCAGCCAATTCAAGTCTAATGGCCCGACGCGGCGATAAAG